AAATAGAGGTGAAAAAGTTAATAAAAGTCTTTTGTCTGGTCTAGTATGTTTCTTAGCAATGGCAGGAGTAAGTGGTATGTACGTTGAAACCAGAAAACTGTCATAGGGAAACGTCGATGGATGAGAAGATTAGTGAAAATCATAAAGCACTACCATGAAATGATACAATTTGCATCCTACTTCATGCAGCACTGAAAGTACGATATGCGATACTCGGTGAAACTTACTTCTGTTTTGTATGCGAGTTCCATTGACTCAAGTCATCTGCCGTCATTTTCAGCAACTCCTGCTCTACTACCTACCTTAGTGGATAAAGAGTGCTTGCCCCCAACCAATCGAAGAGTGACAGAGGCGTCACCCTTTATGTGTTACACACGCAATCCGTCGGTTATTCATTGACAGCCCTGCGATTTCGTGGTGAACTACAAACGCACTTCTCATTGACACTGCGCACAGCAAATTCATTACCAATCCCTTGGACTGCCTGCATTCATTGGTTGACTGGGATGAGTCTTTGATTGGTCAGTTGAGTTTAGGCCTTTACGATGATTGGCGCATTTGAACAGAAGCCACAATGATAGGGACACGGCTACTATTTCATCCCATTTTTGAGCTATTGAGTGGCTGTCACACTCTGGATTGCTGAGTTGTAACTGATTTTAAATTCTATAGTCTTCCTTGAAATGAAACTAAGTTATCCACTTAACACAAAGAAGCTAATGTGATCGTTGTTCGAGATAGAACGTAAATAAAGTTGCTTTAAACAGGCTCCATGAATCCCATAAACTCATATTTACACCTTCACTCGCTTGTGTCCTGATCAGCACCGCTAAACATCGTTCGTTCAGTCGACTACACGACGCTGGATGTGAGGGCAGGTAACCGCATCCTAACACTAAATGTGATTACGTTGATTTCAATAAATAAACTCCGTATCAACTGGAACTGTAGCTCAAGCCACCAAGTCTTCACTTATCCCACTCTAACTGAGCAGACAATGTGTACATCCAGTCCATCCCCTTTCATGCATAGTTAGTCAAAAAAAGAATAAAGGACAGTAGAGAAAGAACCGCATTCTTAAACCGGTAAAAAAACGTCACAGTAATGAAAATCAAACCAAGGGTCATTTTTGTACATGCAGCACGCTACTACTAGTCCCCCGCTTCAGTAGTGACGGGGAGGATTCGAACAAACACAACATTTGCTCCTCGAATGAACAGCTGTCCATACCAGTTGCACACTGGTTCAAGGGGTGGATTGAACCCCGTGGGATCATCATACTGCATGGAAGCTGTCCATCCTCCGCTCCCAAAACCTACTAGAGACGACTCCGAAGATGCAACTTCATCTTCATCACTAGACATGTACTGGCTGCGTTGTGCCACTCGTTCCGCCACCTTTTCAATTCGTCTCTGTCGTCTGCGACGTCGCTTTCCAGGGCCTTCATTCTGGAATTAAAACATCACGTAGCCACGGGACAAATTCTCAAGGAGAAATAAAAACTCAATCGTGATTTAAGTATGCGAGTTTTATGTCAAGTGGTAAACTCGTCCTTTCCATCCTAAGAGTTCACCAACTCTCCTGGATGGGAACGAAAAGCTATGTCCTTACAGCACATAGTAGAGGTATGAAAAATGCAGCTAAGTCCAGATTACTCACGCTTTGGAGCTTGGGATGAGTGGCTGTCTTATACTCGGTCACATCGGCCAGAATCTAAGAAAGAAATAGCAACAATTATCCCACCCAGACAATAAAAAAGTAGCATTGATCTCTCTCCAGTCAATAGAAAAAAAGCCTTAGCATTAGTCCATAGAATTAGCAAACTACATTCTTGATGCATCGACGAACAACTAACCAGGTTCCAATATCGGTCGAACGCAACCATACGGCCAGTTAGGATGGCACGGATATCCCGCATGCCACGAGTCACCACGTAGACAGGTGCCGAGTCCCGCATTGCCTGCATAAGGCGTTCCATTGGCCCCAAGGCCCCTTCTGCAGTCATAGTTTGATTCATCTTTTGCTCCAAACCTTCAGAAAACATGCCAAAAAAATTAGGTAACGATAATAGAGATGCTACTAACAACATATAAGTAGAGCAGTTCAGTGATAAGGGGCGGTTTGTCAAAGGTTTCAGCAAGCAAAGGCTAAAAAAATTTTCTATGCACGAGATTTGTACTACCACCTGAGTTTGCATCCTCATATGAACACATGATTAACATGCATTCTGCATGTTTAAGTCCTTTTAATAACTAATATTTGCAGATATAGTGGTAATCACAAAGCGATAAGGTAGAAAATCCCAGGCAAATACCTCCGAGTAAGGATCAACTTATGAACAGTTGTCATCCCAAATCCCTACATTTAACATGAGGTTCCGAGACTTAGTTTCTCCAGCCAAATATATCGTCAAATTCTGTGCCCATTTTCTTGCAAAGCTAAGGCGATGGCATAATCTTCTTTATTGCTTCACAGGCACACTCATTGCAGCGCACACGTAAGGCAGGACTTGCATCGAACCCTCTGAATCGATCCTCACTTGGATGTCGAAAATGGCCAGATCGACAGTCTCTTTGATCATGAAGTTATTACTTGAAGCAGAGGTGAGCTAATGTAAGATATGGCCACTTAGCGGCGTAATTACCCTCCACCGTTGTGACGAGTTAGCTATAAACGATCGAGGATGCATGGCTTGTCAAGCAACAAGTTTAGAATCATCCACCGAAACAAGCAGCACAAACTACTTCCGCCCGGTCTAGCCAGAGGAATCCGATTGCTGCAAAGTCAAGTTACCAAACTAGCAGGAGGAGGAAGAAGTCACACGAGACCAAATCACAAGGACTCAACATCATTCACACGAACATGGTGACAGCAGCAACAAGGCATTGTCTTACAATGTGAACGTCCTGTGACAACCACATGCATCGGCAGTGGACCATTGACAAAACACGAGCCCTCAGACGGAAGATGCAAGAGCTGCCTGAAGTTACCAGAAGAAAATGCCGGTCTAAAAGCGCCCTTAAAAATATGAGCCAATATGACTTTAAACAACAGCCACCAGTGATTTCAATACTGCATGCATGCATTGCAAGTTTGACAAGCGCTTTTAAAACACACCACCCGGTATGGACGTCTCAAAACACAACCTCTCGATAATTGAGAGGTATTAACGAGAGAAAGCTGGTAATCACGTTCGGAAGGATGAAATATTCCCCGTCGAGTTGGGGAGCTTTGTTGAATCCAAAACCTTACTGTTCGACGACTTTGATCGAGTTAAGGGTGGCAATGATTGCGCTGATTGTGAATAGTAAATTGGGACTCAACCAAGACAGCTCCAGTTAATGACTCTGACTACGTCAGCTCAAATCGGGGAAGATAGCTTTCAACACTATTGCCCCATCTAAGTTTTAATCACGCCTCTGCATCAGAGATTTGAGACAGTCTGAAAAAGTAGCGCCAGTACGATTCTAGTGGACGTCAAAATGAATTGACATCAGTAAGGGAACTCAGCTCGGAGAAAGCCTCCAGGAATCAGAGGCAGTAGACTGCTGAGTCGTGCAACTCAAAGCCATAATTCCTGTTTGCAATACATCCATAGCCATAGTTTAGATCGCCCGTCTAAACATAAGTCCAGGTCTGTCACATTTTCACATTTGTTGTGTAGTCGGTCAGAAAAGAAATGCTCATTCAGACCCTCTACTGCTGCACTGAGGATGTAACACAATGCGCACAATGTGACAGTCTCCTCTCATCGTCACCATCACAGACGGAACTTCGCCATGGAGGCAACTCTGGCCCCCCATGAAAGCAAGCACGACACTCTGTGAAAAGTAATTCAATTCGCCGCAGATGTTATGAATATGTGAACTCTAAAAGCAAGCAA